GAGATGATTCGCTTCAGAATCCCAAATGCTAACAGAACTAAAAACAATGCAACTAGAAAGTAAAAGATGTCTTTTAAAAGAGACACTGCCCACCCCAAAAGGTCCCAGTCTTTGAATAGATCTTTAAACCAATCCTCATTTTCCTGCTTCACACTCCCAATGAGGCTTCTCATTTCCTGAATGGACGAGTGGACACTCTGACCTTTAGATGACAGATCAAAGCAACACAACCCATCAAACTCTTTACATCTATGACCATGTGCCAACAGCAGGCAATCAATAGCTGCCCTATTTTGGAGGGTAGCCTTTCTGGTTATTTCTTTATCTTCTAGGAGGTCACTCAGGGCTGCTGATGTTAAATTTGCCTGCTTTGTCACCCAGCATTCTAGATTGCCTAATTCACTCAATGCTTTGGCTGCCACAACCCATGGTAAAAACACAGAATGGCAAATCTTTTGGATTTTGCCCAATGATAAATTTCTGCATCACAATGTTCATCCAATTGACTTGCACTCTGCTTAGTAATTTTTGTCTCGCCTTTTGCTTGCCCAATTGGAATTTGGGTCATGTTGGGGGAAGCAAGGGTCAGATGCCCGAAAGTGCATGGACCTCCAACAAGACGAGAGGGGATTCCTGGGTATGCTCTGTCCCAACAGATAAGAAACATTCCCTTGTCCAGCTTGCGTGGACGGAAATCAGTGGTGGATGCAAATTTCAGCTTATAGACAGCTGTGCACCATTGACCTGCTCTACCTTGTACTGTTTGACATGCTCATATAGTTTTACTTTGGTTGGGGAAAAATCAAATTGAATGCAATATTCAGCTTTTGTGGAGCCCAGGAGTTCTAATTCCTGGGGCTCTCCCTTGGCAGTGGGCAAGTGTAGGACCCATCTTTGCCACAAAATGAGGGGGTTTCACACTGGTATTTTAACTTGTTCTACAGCTCCTTGGCGCCTGTAGAACTCTGCCCACGCCTCAGGTGTTTTATTTTTGTTCACCTGCTTTTGCAAGTGGACCAGACTGATTGGGAACTCATCCCCCTTACTTGGAACCCCTACTAAATATGTGGACATCGGATTTTCTGCTGAGGCAGTAGACAAACGCATGTGATCTTGTTTCAAGGCTTGGGTGAGTGTGACCCACACATTTTTCTTGGGCTGTGGAACAATCCACACCTCCACCGTGGAAGGGTAGATGACCATTCCCTGGAACCAAATGGTGAGCAGGAATGTGGAAATTGACATTCTGCTAGTCTGAAAGAAAGATAAAATCATACAACAAGGTAAACTAACTCTGAAAAAGATACAATTTGCTCTGCCAGTATAAAGGAAAACAGGAATTATGGGTCTCCTCCTTCCTTGCGGCGTTTTGTTTGACGCAACTGCGTTTTCTGTGGGATTCCCCTGAGCATCAGGGGGGTTACTCTGTGGTGGGCTCACTCCCTGTTCAGCAGTATATGGTCTGACCCATTTCTTAGGAATCCACCTGAGTCCGGAGGGTGTGGACACGCACGCATACCCCCGTCCCCAAGTGATCCCTGGATTTCTCCAGAGTCTGGATCCCTAATTAACACTGGAGGTCTCTCTTCGGGTCTGAGCTGCTGATGTTGTTTAAAATGACGCAGGACTGGGGGTTCAAGCCTATCAAAAGAACAATTTAAGAAGTTAATGGTGAAAAGGGCTTTGCAGAGCCTCATCTGTGGAGACATGGCCTGAATATCTCCCCACTGGCAAAGGAGGACCTTTTTTAAGGTCTGATGTGTTACTTCTATCACAGCCTGGCTGGTGGGGGAGTGTGCAATTCCTGTCTGATGGTTCACCCCCCACTCTTGTAAAAACTCCCCAAATGCTCTGGAAATATAGGCTGGGCCATTATCTGTCTTGATGGTGGTGGGGACCACCAAGGCCACAAATGCCTGCATAAGATGTTTTTTGGCATCTGCAGCTCTCTGTCCACTGTGGGCTGAGGCAAAGACTGGTCCGGAGAAAGTATCTACTGAAACATGTACATGTTGGAACCTCCCGAATTCCTGTATATGTGTGATGTCAGTTTGCCACACTTCACAACTGCGGAGTCCCCTGGGGTTCACTCCTGAACTCACGGTTTGTAGAGTGGACTCCTGATACTGGGGGCAAGCAGCCACGATTGCCTTGGCCTGGTCATGCCGCAGTTGGAATTGGCGGACCAGTCCTGGGGCATTTTGATGAAACGATGGCTTATCTTGGCCTGCTAAGGATATTTGGTTAGCCAACCAGCTGCAGAGGGGCGGCCAGTGCATCTGCCCTACAGTTACCTTCTGCTATAAAACCTGGGAGATCGTTGTGTGATCTCACATGCATTACAAAGAAAGGCTGCTCTCGTTGTGAAACCAGATGGATTAGTTTTGAGAACAAACTGAATATCACTGGGTTGGAAACCTCTTTGAGCACTGCATGTTCTGCCCTGGACACCACACCTGCCACATATGCCGAATCTGTAACTATATTAATTGGTTCTGAAAACCTCTCAAAGGCCCTGACAACAGCGTCCAGCTCAGCAACCTGTGGGGAGCCCTCCACAACCTTTACATCAGCTTCCCACTGCTGAGTCTGGGGGTCTTTCCATGTGATCACAGATTTGTGGGACCCTCTCGACGCGTCTGTGAAAACTGTCAGTGCTTTCAGTGGTTCACTGCTCTGGATACTTTTTGGAATCAAATGAAACTGCACTTCAAACAATCTGTGGCCTGGATGGCTGATGAGAATTTGTCCAGTGAAACTGTCTAAGGAGAATTGCAAGTTTTCATTGGTCTGAAACAGGTGCTCAAGTATTTCCTTGGAGAGTCTCCCTGTGGATATTCTGATAGGGAGATGAATGCATGCGAAGTCACACCCCACCAACACCTGCAGACGAGCTCTGGCCTGCATGATCAGCTGGGCCATCAACTCTTGTGGCTTGGTGATACTTTGGGACAACTGATGACCAAGGAACACCCACTCTATAATTAAGAGGGGATCCCGTTGGTCTATGTCCCATTGAAAGATCAATCCATGGAGGTGTGGCAACTTACCAAGGATGACGAATCAGAAGGGCAGGCCCTCACGACACCTGTGGGCCTGTCTACTAGGGTGGACTGAATTTTCTCCAAAGCAGCCCTGGCCTCCTGAGTTAGGGCCCTCGGGGAGTCTAACTCTTCTCCCCCCCTCAATAAATTGAAGATGGGAGACAACTCTCCCATGGTGAGCCCCAGCCAGGGTCTGACCCAATTTAGAGACCCACAAAGCTGGTGGAGGTCCCTTAATGTTTTTGGATCATCATTTATCATTGGTCTCTGGGGTGTGATGGTTCTGTTACCAATTTCAAGGCCCAGATACTTCCAAGGCGGCAGGTGCTGCACTTTTTCCTTCTGCAACTCAAATCCAGCTGCTGACAAGGCTGAGATAGTGTCCTCCAACGCCTCTGCAAGTACGTTGTCACTGTTGGCACAGACAAGGACATAATCCATGTAATGATACAAAATGCAATCTTTCCACTTGGCACAGACTGGGAACAGAACTCTGGCCACATACCACTGACAGATGGTGGGAGAGCATTTGAGACCCTGAGGAAGGACTGTCCAAAGGTAGCGTTTCATGGGAGCCGCTCTATTAAGAGAGGGCTCAGAGAAGACAAAGCATGGTGCATCATCTGGGTGTAGGGGAATTTGAAAGAAGCAGTCTTTGATATCAAGCACTGCTAATTTCCAATTTTGGGGAAGCATCGATGGGGAAGGCATTCCTGGTTGAAGAGATCCTATGTCCTCAATGACATTATTAATTTTTCTCAGATTGTGGAGGAGCCGCCACTTGTCTTTCCCCAGTTTCTTAATAATGAACACCGGAGAATTCCAAGGGCTCTGGGTTTCTACTATATGTCCCTTTGCCAATTCCTCTTTTACAATTTGAGAGAGCGCTCTCCTTTTTTCTGTAGCCAGCGGCCACTGTTCTACCCAGACGGGTGTATCTGTGAGCCACTTAAGTTTTTGGGGCGCAATAGCAACACTTCCTGCTTGCGCTTGAGGAATGACAGGAGTTCTTTGCTCATCCTGAGACTCAGGTCTCTTTCCCCCTTTGCCCAATTTCTTGCTCACTAGGATGTATTGTTGTTGAGCCTGGAGGGAGTGATCCTTGAATATCACCTTGGATCCCTTTAGTCTGCAGGGCCTGTTCTCATGTGCTTCTTTCAAGAAGGTCCCTGGAGAGACTGCAGTTTGCTCTCAAGAGGTCTGTGGTTGTAATCTTGCTTGGTGCCCTGCTTTTTCCTCACCCCCAGCTGAACTCCACAATCTCATTCATAGGCAGTGCAGCCAAGGGTGACCTCAGGCTCACATCTCCAACAAGGCCTTCCCTGAGTAAGGTTGAGCAGCATGCTGTTCCTTGTGGGATCCTCCACTGCCTGTGACAGCAAGTTTTCATGAATGCTTTCCATAAACATCCTGTACTGTCTTGCTTCTCTAGCTGATGGCAGGGAAGCTAAAGTTCCCCACAAGAACCAGGGCCTGTGACTCTGAGGTTGCTTTATGTTGCCTTAGAAAGCCTTCTACTTCTCCTCCTGTTTAGGTGGCCTCTAGCAAACACCCACAGCAATGTCATCCTTCCTTGTCTGTCCTTTAATTCTGACCCATAAGCTCTGGACTCACTCATCATCTACCCCAGACAAAGCTTGACACATTCTAAATGTTGCCTAATATAGTGGTCAACTCTATCAGTTGAGTTGGAGTTGACCAACTCTGAGGCACCCAAGGGATATGAATGTCTCTCATGGTATCTGTTGGCCTTGTGCTACAGGCTAACTCTGTCTCTGGAAGAAAAGGATCTGAGCCTCAGAACCCTGGAAGAAAACAACCTGGCCCAGATCAATCAGGTGTCTCAGCTTCGTTCTGCCCTTACCCAGGCTGAGGAGCTCCACTCAGAGCATAGAAGAGAAATGCAAGAGCTCAGCACCCAGGTAAGCTGTGCAGTGGCATCCTCTTCTCCAGGGACACACAACAGCACCTTTGGCTTGGAGGCCCCAAGCTCTTTCCCCTCCCGACAGCATCCACAGCTGCCGTGTTCTGCCCGGGGCTGCTGCTGCACCCTGAGGCCCAGGCTGGATCTGCTGTCTGCTGCCGAAGATTTGCACCGTTCTCTCCCGGCTCCCAGCAGGAAATCTGGGAGGGGAAGCAGCAGCAGCCTCCTCAGGAGCTCCTCTGTCCCTCCATGAGCAGTGTTGTCCCAGACAGAGTTGGTGCCTGTGCTGGCACTGAGCAATGTGGGGACACAGAGGTGGCTGTGGCAGGCTGGGCAGGGCACTTCCAGCACAGCCATCTCAGCCAGCTGCTGTTCAGAGCTGCAGCCTCAAGGATGCCCACTGCCTCCCTTTCCCTCTTTTCTCTACATTTGTCTCCATTGGAATCCTTGTTTTTGTGCCTTCTGGTTTTGGCATGGCTTTTGCCTGAAATAATTTCTCCTTCATTCCTCCCACTACTCCCCCTCTGCGGCCTCAGGAGCAGCCCTGTCCCTGAGGCTCTGTGCATCCATCTTCCAGATCCAGGCCCTGCAGGACACACTGCTGCAGATGGAGGCTTCCCAGGCAACTCGAGAGCAGCAGCTGCTGCAGGAACTGGAGGAGTCTCGAGCAGGAGAATGTGCCTTGAGGGACTCTGTGGACGTGCTGGAGGCTGAGGTGTCTGAGCTGCGTGTGAGGCTCCAGAGCTCCGAGAACAGAGCAGAGACCTTGGCCATACAGTGTCAACAGGCCAGTGATGCCCACCAGGAAACTCAATCCCAGCTGGACAAACTGCTGTTGGCTCTCCACCAGATGATCAGGGACAGCAGAGACTTGGTCACTTGGAGCTCTGGCAAGTGTGGGAGGCTGGGTGAGCAGGTGTGGAAGAGCAGGTGGAGTGAGTGGGTGTTCCTGGTCACCCTGGTATCACACACTCACCCTGTCAGTTTAGGCTGACTCAGGCCTTGGGAAGTCTTGACAGTTTGACTTCCCTGTAGAGACACAAGTCCATGTTTGTATGTAGAGAAATGATCAGAGTCATGAGAGAAGGAACCAAGTCCTGTCAAGCTCATGCAGGGGCCAAGTCCATGTCAAGCCCAGGGCCCTTGCAGTTGTCTCTAAGGCAATGCTGACATTAGTGGTCATCAGAATAATGTCAGCCTGTGCCACACATCCTGCTGCAAGGTGAGCTCTAAGACAATGACAAAGGCACCTCCTCCTAGGTAGAGAGGCCTTGTTTCTTGGAGACCACTGGATTAAATCTTGAAAAAGATTGTCTTCTCTTTTCAGAAGAGGGTCATGTCATGGGTCTAACTGCTTCTCAGGCTGGAGATGTCCCTGCAGAGCTCACAGTGGACAGAGTGGCAGCAGCTCTGCAACACCTGCAGCAGCACCTGGAACATTCCCAGAAAGATCTGGTAATGTGTGCCCAGTGCACCCAGAAATCCTATATTGCTGTTGGGCTGCTGGACAAGCACTGTGCCAAGGCCAGAATGGGTGTCAGTCCTTGTAGGGAGCTTGGCTTACTGGGATGGGGAGGAAGGAGGATCACAATCACATCTACCACTACAGTCCAGCTGTCCTTTCCCACATAGCTATTTCTGCTTTAGTGTTTGTAACCCTTTGTCTCCTGCCAGCAGTGGCAATGACATGTGATTCTTCTCCTCTTATCTCTTCCAGAATGATGCAAGGAACAAGATACAGGCCTTGGAACTGGAGCTGAGCACAGGGCAGGATCAGATAGACAATCTCAGAGCCAGCAATCAGGAGCTGCAGATACAGTTGCATGAAAGTCAGACAGGTACAGCTTCTCTTCTCCCACCCACTGCCCCATTCTGTCTCTCCAGTGGGGTTCTTTGATGTCACATAGAAAAAAAAAAAAATGGCAGAGGGGAAAAACAACCAGCTACCACACTAAGGTATCCATCCAAGTGCCAGTGAAAGCTTTTTCTTGAGAAAGATGCTGTGGCTTGCAGAGCCATCTGGCTGTGCTAGGGCTGCTCCTGGGCTGGAGCCTTTCATGGGCCGTGTCTCTCTTAAGGAGCTGTAGCTGGGTGCCTCAGCTCGATTCCCCCAAACTCCAGGCCCTGCCAGAGCCTCCAGGGCCATTGGCCTCTCTGAGCAGGGCTGCACAGGCATCCCCTCTCCTTTGTCCCTCCTGGATTGCTCACTCTGCACAAGGCCAAGAGCAAACACACATTCCTAGCCCTCTGAACCTTGCCCCTTTCATTCCTGCTTTTTACTCTGCCTGGAAGTTTCCTTCATTTCTGTCAGCTTTGGAGCCCTTGTGTGCTTAGGGCCTGGCAAACACCGGCAGGCAGAGAAGACAGTGCTGTTGTCTCTGCAGGATGCACATCAGTGTGACTTTGCTTTGCTTGTCCCCTTCTCCTTCTCCTTCCCCTTCCCTCCTGCAGCAATGTTGAGGGCAGAGCACCAGAAGACCTCTCTAGAAAATGCCTTGAAGGAAGAGACCATTGCCTTGCAGGAAGAGGCTGTGACTCTTCGTCAGGAGGTGGCATCTCTGAAGAGGAAATTGGAAAACCTGGAGAAGGAAAGGAAGGATGTGCTGGTGAGATTGGCAGATGCCACAGAGGGCCATTTCCTAGCTATGTTTGGACCTTGTGTTAATAGTTCTAAGGAACAGCTTTTTCCAGTTAAACTCTTCTAACTACATTCTTCTGAATAAGGAAGAAAAGATGTTGTAGTCATGCCAAAGCAAATTAATGCTAGGGCTGCTGATTTTCCTCCATGCTGGGCTTCTGTGCCCTAGAAGCTTTAGTTCTCAATATCCACAATCTCTCTATGGACATTGCATGGTTTGGGGAATTCCTTGTGTCCAAACCCACGTCCAGATTCCTAAATATATGCAAGGGAAAGAGGGGTGAGTTGACCAAGTTTGCTGTTAATAGAAAGGTGTTTGGCCTTGGCCATCTGAGAGCAGCCAGTGGGGAGAGAAGAGAGGAAAGCCAAGTGCTGATCCACACCAGGACGTGT